ATAATCGCGGAGCCATGCGGATTGCGCGAATTGTAGTACGCGATGTATATTTGTGACGCGAAGACCATGACGCGTACATTGCTGCAGGTTGCGATAGTGAATGACGTAACGCTTCTTGCAATATAGAGTCGCCAGAAGTTTTGCCTGCCGCTTGCCAGGCGGCTTATCGCGCGTTGGACAGAACGGTAGATCAGTGTGCTCGTCGTGTATACTTTGTGGGTACTCGAGATCGACCTCGAGAATGTAACCCGTGGGCGAGTCCGAGGCGATCGCACTAAAGTCAAAATCTGCAACATCGTCGACCCATCGAAATTCGGCGTATGGCAATGGTTGACACATTGCCCATCCATATAGATTATTTACGTCAAAGTACATCAAGTATGAGGAAGCTTTCGATGGATCATACGAGTGCATATATTTGTTGTTAGCCTGCGCATATCTACTGGAGCATTGACTCAGACCGCCACGTATACCGCGCTCGATAAACATGACCATATCAATGTCCGTGAGGAGTTCGAAATTTATACGTGTATGTTTAAGCATGGCATCCCACGTGAATCCTGGTAATGTGTAATAATACGCGGGATCGAGACCATAACTCTCGATACACTTGTCTCGGAAATTTTCAAAAATGTCAGCCTACAACATGACATCCGTTTTCATATACAGGTCGCTGTACTCGCCCAAGAATTGAATGGCAAACTGTCGCCAGACGTTCGCAGCGTGCGCGTAATCGTTCTCGGATACAGTGTCACCGGTCAAGGAACTGTAAAATGATTCGCGCGGTGGTAAACACGTGTTCTCCAACTTTTCGACGCAATCAACGTACTCGTACGGAAAGACACCCTTTCGCGTCAATAAATTGAAATTTTCCACCGATAACTTTGAAAAATTTGAACGTGTAATTTTCAAATTATCCATGCTGAGAAGAGACGCTAGTTTGTCGAGACTGACAGTTAAAAATTTGTATGAATCGATGAATCGCAATTTCATACAATTTCGCCAATCTGATTTTTCAGCGGTGCCTGTGACATGTTTGGTGAAGGAAATGTATTTTTCCTTCGTTATTGGAAGCAATTCTACATGTCCTTCGTACGCTGTAGCTATTTCTTTGATAATGAAATGCAAATCGTAACCAGATAAATTGTGGAAGACCACAGGAACACAATATAAATTTTTATAATTTAAATTACAATTCGAATGCGCTGGACCTCTATATCTTTCGGTCAAATGGCAATGATCGCGTACTCTATCATCACCTAGTGCGAACGGTTTTTCACATATGTGGCAATGCGTCGCGCTACGGTATGCCCCCCACTGTTCCTTCGACAAATTTTCCATAGGGACATTAGTGAATAATTTTTCTTTTACGTGTTGTGATAACACTTTGAGTTGCTTGACGAACCACGTGATGCAATCTTTATCGCGACGAGATTGGTATGTGGACAATGAATCATCGTACGAGCAATGCACGTAATATCCAACGCTGAATACCTCATGATGCTGATACGCATATGAAGACGTTATCGAATCCTTGTCAATCTTTTCCAGAGTGCACTCCAAGTCGGCGTATACGACAAACGGTGCACGTTCCTTACAGTTGTAATTTTTGAAGGTCAGCCACTTGTCGTCCTCACTCGGTAATCTGATCGCGCAGTCGTTTATCTCTCCACAGTCCACAATGTGAGCTTCCAACCTTTGACTCGAACTAAAGTAATGCAAGCATCTGGAAATATATTTTTTATTATTCATAACATATTTTTATATTATTCATAAAAAAAATTATACATACCGATCGCAGAAATATTTTTTTCCTTTGTGCTTAGTCAACTGCATGCTCATGAGGCGGGACATATTTTTTATCCATGCAAAATGACCCACGTCGTTGTCTCCCTGAACGTATAGC